TTCAAATCTAAGAATACTATTAAAGTTTGTTAGTGAAATAAAATTACTAAAATAACATTAATGAAATAACATAAGAAGAGTTTTGTTAAATAGATTTTAGTAAATTTATATGTTAAATTATACTGTAATTTACTTTTACAATTTATTTATAGATAAAGATTACAAGATCAAAAGTCTTATAAATAAAATATGTTATTTTACCAAATAAGAAAGTTCCTCCATGTTTCTCACTTTCATACACTTTTATTTTTTTTAAATATTTTTAGGTAAAAAAAGTATCTCAAATTAAATAATTTTATAAGTATTATATAATTATAAAATATTATTATAAAACTATAGTATCATAAGATTGACATGTTATGTATCTTTTTCTGCTGCAGTAGTAGATCTTTAGCACCCAATGCACCACAAACTAAGCATTAGATAAAGAGAAAAGCCAAAGAAAAGACTGTGCATGGTCCAAGATCTAGGGTAAAATACATGAAAGGGATAGGACTTGGTTTATAAAACCTAGAATCTCATACAAACTCATGATCAAAATTTTGCAAGTGATAATTATTGGAGACATATTAGGTAATATTTCTTGAAAAATATGTTCAAATGAGAAAAATGAATTATAGAGAGATCATTTGTGAAAATATCACTCAAGTTTCTTACTTAAGTATCAATTTCTAAAGTGTAAATGTACCTATCTTATAGCGGTATATGGTTGAGTTTTAAAACTCTTAATAAATATGTAGCCATTAGAATTTGTTTTTAATGGCTAGAGATGCTTGTGGTTATCTTGATCAATGGTACATGTGGTAATTTAATAGTTTAATGCTTAATGTTGTTAACAATTGATATGTGATTAATGCAATGTTTGTATGTAGCTAATTTGTGATTATTATTTTTATATGATAAAAATAGTGAATAAATATGTGCACGAAAAAATGGATTTATAAAAAAAATTGAGAACCTAACTGAAAAAAAAAACTAAAGAAGAGAGTTACCCATTATATGAAAATGAAAGCGATGCATTTAAATAACCTAGTAAAGATTTTGTGGGTGGTGTTGTAAAGAAAAGAGATTAAATTTTTTGCATTCATTGTATCACAAACTAAGCCTCTGGTAAAGACAAAAGATTGAGAAAAAAGACTACGTGCATAATCTAGGGTCTGATATACATGAAGGGGATAAGACTTATCCTAAAAAGCTTAAAATCTCCTATGAGGATAGCTAACTCATAATTAGAATTTTGCAGGCAATAATTCTTAGAGACTGATATCAAGTAATATTTCTTGAAAAATGGGTTTGCATGAGAAAAATAAATCATAAAGAAATTGTTTATGAAGGTACATCACTCAAGTTTCTTGCTTACACATCCAACTCTAAAGTGTAAATGTAAGTATCCTACAACATTACATGGTTGAGATCTAAAATTCTTGGTAAACTTGTAGCTTGTTTTGAGTGGTGTGTTTGAGTTGTAGGGGCACTATTGATGGATTTTATTTACATGGGTATCACGGTGAAGCTGTTTTTGTAAAAATTGGATGTGCAATTTTCTAACTTAATCATGAAAACTAAGATCATGCACAATACCATATTACAGCAGTTATATGAAAAACTCAGCTTTTAAATCATTATGTGTGATGAATTTTTGTATCCTCTTATATGTCATAGTTCAAGATTTAGTATACTATTAAATTTAAAGTATGAATTGTGACTCACTTTTCAAGACTTAATTATTTTTATTATGTATAATAATGCATCGTCACTCAAAATAAATTTTCATCATCTCTATTATTACTTATCTCCAAACTGATGTAGTATCCCATCCAATTGATGACATAAACCTTATAGAATCAAGCCACCTCGCCTTGTTAATAACACACCACATGAGAGTGGGAATTTATATATTGCAGTTGACTGTAACTTTGAAGCAAAGCGAAAGAAAAGATTTTCAGTTTTACAACGAAAAAAATAGTCACAATGATAATATATAAAAGGTAAATTTCATACACACTCCTTTGTAGTTTGAGATAGCTACATCCCCCCCTAAAGATAAGATAAACGCATTTTGCACCATAAGACAAACTCAAAACTGGAAACTAAAATCTTGTCTCGTTAGTATTGAGAGTATTAAGGTGAGAAAATATGTAAATAAAAATATTAATTTTACACCTTTTTAAGTTAAAGATATTAATTTTAATATCTTTTTAAATAAAAATATCAATTTTGACTTTTTGATTTAAACGTATTAATTATTAATTATTTTATTTAAGAATTAATTAGATGATGATATTGACATGGTAAATGCATTTTTTCAAAAAAAAAAACATTATGAAATATAGAAAAAAATTAAATATTAACATCTTAAAATAAAAAATTAAATATTTTAATTATCAACATTTTTATTTGAGAATTAATTAGATGATGATATTAATATAGTTAATGCATTTTTTGAAAAAAATTAACATATTGAAATAAAAAAA